AGGATCTCAGCACTGGTTCGAGTCCTGGTTTCTCAATTTCTGATCTGGATCTCTGCTAAAGGCCTGTGAAAAGTCACAGAAGATGGCCTGAGTGTTTGGGCCCTTGCCAGCCACGTGGGAGACCTTGATGAAGCTCCTGGATCCCAGCTTTGGCCTGGCCCAGTCCCGGCCTTTGCAGCCATCTGCGAAGTGAACAGCAGTTGGAAGACCTCTCTCCATCTCTCTCTCTCTCTCTCTATATATATATATATATATACACACACACATATATACACACATATTTATATATACATTCTGTCTTTAAATAATTTTTTTTTGACAGGCAGAGTTAGACAGTGAGAGAGAGAGAGAGACAGAGAGAAAGGTCTTCCTTTTTCCATTGGTTCACCCCCGAAGTGGCTGCTACGGCCGGCGTGTTGCGGCCAGCGTGGTGCGCCAATCTGAAGCCAGGAGCCAGATGCTTCCCCCTGGTCTCCCATGAAGGTGCAGGGCCCAAGGACCTGAGACATCCTCCACTGCACTCCCAGGCCACAGCAGAGAGCTGGACTGGAAGAGGAGCAACTGGGACAGAATCCAGCACCCCAACCAGGACTAGAACCCAGGGTGCTGGCACTGCAGGCGGAAGATTAGCCTAGTGAGCTGCAGTGCTGGTCAATAAATATTTTTTTAAAACCCTTGAGGCAGCGCTATGGCGTAGCAAGTAGAGCCACTGCCTGCAGTGTCAGCATCTCATATAGGCTCCGGTTCAAGTCCCAACTGCTCCACTTCCGATCCAGCTCTGCTACAGCCTGGGAAAGCAGTAGAAGATGGCTCAAGTCCTTAGGCCCCTGCACCTGCATGGGAGACCTAGAAGAAGCTCTTGGCTCCTGGCTTTCAATCAGTGCAGCTCTGGCCGTTGCAGCCAATTGGGGAATGAACCAAATGATGGAAGACCTCTCTCTCTCTCTATTTCTATGTAACTCTGACTTTCAAATAAATAAATCTTAAAAAAAAAAAAAACCTATGTCTTCATGAGAAATGGCCATGGAGATCTTCCTTTTAAAAAGATTTATTTATGGGGCTGGCACTGTGCTGCAGCAGGTAAAGCCAACACCAGCATCCATATGGGCACCAGTTTGAGTCCCGGTTGCTCCTATTCCCATCCAGCTCCCAGCTATGACCTGGGAAAGCAGTAGAAGATGGGCCAAGACCTTGGGCTCTGCACCCGCACGGGAGATCCGGAAGAAGCTCCTGGTTCTTGGCTTAGGATCAGCACAGCTCCAGCCATTGCAGCCAGCTGAGGAGTGAACCAGTGGATGGAAGACCTCTCTCTCTCTCTCTCTCTCTTCTTCTTCTTCTTCTTCTTCTTCTCTGCCTCTCTTTATCTCTGTGTAATTCTAACTTCAAATAAATAAATAAATCTTTAAAAAATTTTAAAAATAAGAAGATTTATTTATTTGAAAGGCAGAGTGACCGAGAGAAGGAGAGAGAGGGGGAGACAGAAAGATCCTCCATCCCCTGGTGCACTCCCGAAGTGGCCACAACAGCCAGGGCTGGGCCAGGCTAAATCCTGGAGCCAGGAGCTTCATCTGGGTCTCCCATGTGGGTGCAGGGGCCCAGGCACTTAGGCCATCCTCCACTGCTTTCCCAGGTGCATTAGCAGGGAGCCGGATCAACAGAGGAGCACCAGGGACTTGAACCAGTGCCCACTTGGGACTCTGGCACTGCTCGCAGAAATTACCCCCAACACAGCCCCTAGTTCCTTCTACACAAAATAACATTGTATTTGCATGGAACCTACCCACTTCCATATACTTTCATCTAAAGATACCTTCTAATGCCAAGTTCAGTGTAATTGCTGTGTGAATAGCTGTTACCCTACACTGTTTGGGAAATAATGACAAAGGAAAAAAAAGTCTATAGGTGTTTGGGCCAGATGCAACGTTTTTTCTTAATGTTTTCCATCAATGGTTGGTTAACTGTGGAGACGTGGAATCCACAGATGCAGAAATCCACTTGCACTAGTCAAATCACTTGAGCCATCATCCAGCCATCAATCTGTTTGGGAAGAGATTGTCTGATGGGCCCCCCAAGTCTCCTGTGGGAGCTGCTGGGTTTGGCTTATGGGAGGCTGGAGCATGGAGTGAGAGGGTAGGGATGGGTTATGGTGGGGAAATAGGATATCTGGGCTGGGGTTGTGATGCAGCAGGTTAAGCCACCAACTTACAATCCCATATCAGAGTGCCCATTTGAGACCCAGCTGCCCTATTTCTGATCCAGCTCCCTGCTAATGCACCTGGAAAGCAGTGGAAGATGGCCCAAGTGCTTGGGCCCTTGCACACATGTGGGAGACCTGGAAGAAGCTCCTGATACCTGGCTTTGGATCAGCCCGGCTATGGCTATTGCAGCCATTTGGGGAGTCTCTCTCTCTCTCTCTCTCTCTCTCTCTCTCTCTCTCTCTCTCTCTCTCCTCTCTGCCCCTACCTCTCTATAACCTTGCCTTTCAAATAAGTACATAAATCTTTTTAAAAAAAGATAAGAACATCCCAAAGGAGATGTCTATTTCACTCATAGACAGTAAATTTTACAATAGTCACCATTCATTAAAACTATCATAGTGTAGCTGGTGCCACGGCTCAACAGGCTAATCCTCTGCCTAGTGGCACCAGCACACCAGGTTCTAGTCCCCGTCGGGGCGCCGGATTCTGGCCCAGTTACCCCTCTTCCAGGACAGCCCTCTGCTGTGGCCCGGGAGTGCAGTGGAGGATGGCCCAAGTGCTTGGGCCATGCACCCCATGGGAGACCAGGAGAAGCACCTGGCTCCTGCCTTTGGATCAGCGCGGTGCACTGGCCGCAGCACGCCGGCCGCGGCAGCCATTGGAGGGTGAACCAACGGCAAAGGAAGACCTTTCTTTCTGTCTCTCTCACTGTCCACTCTGCCTGTCAAAAAAAAAAAAAAAAAACTATCATAGTGTATCATTCTTAACGACTTGTTTGACCACAGTTTAAAACAAAGTTTGGCCGGTGCCGCAGCTCACTAGGCTAATCCTCCACCTAGCGGCGCCTGCACACTGGGTTCTAGTCCCGGTCGGGGCTCTGGATTCTGTCCCGGTTACCCCTCTTCCAGGCCAGCTCTCTGCTGTGGCCAGGGAGTGCAGTGGAGGATGACCCAAGTACTTGGGCCCTGCTCCCCATGGGAGACCAGGAGAAGTACCTGGCTCCTGCCATCGGATCAGTGCAGTGCGCCGGCCGCAGCACACCGGCCGCGGCAGCCATTGGAGGGTGAACCAACGGCAAAGGAAGACCTTTCTCTCTGTCTCTCTCTCTCACTGTCCACTCTGCCTGTCAAAAAAAAAAAAAGTTTGACAAAACACTATATTTGCAGCAAAACTGATATGCATAGGCATCTCTCTTTTTGTGTCTTTGATTTTTGTCTTTTAATTTGAGCTCCCACCTAGGAGGAAGAACATGCAATATTTGTCTTTCTAAGTGTAGCTTCTTGCACTTAACAAGATGTTCTCTAGTTGCAACCATTTTGGTGCAAATGATAGCAATATCATTCTTTTTTTATGGCTGTAGTGCCTGCAGCTGTGACTGTGACAATGGCTGCCACATCCCTCTTAACTGGGGGCTTTGGTTGTGACTCTGAAGCCATCTTTTCTGTTTTCTGTAGCTGCACGAAACATCCTGATGGATGGAAGGAAACACAGGGCAGACGGGGTGATGAAGGAAGATCTCTACTGTGGGTGATACTTGGCAGGATCTAAAACAAACAAACAGGCCGGCGCCGCAGCTCTCTAGGCTAATCCTCCACCTAGCAGCGCCGGCACACCGGGTTCTAGTCCCGGTCCAGGTGCCAGATTCTGTCCCGGTTGCCCCTCTTCCAGGCCAGCTCTCTGCTGTGGCCAGGGAGTGCAGTGGAGGATGGCCCAGGTGCTTGGGCCCTGCACCCCATGGGAGACCAGGAGAAGCACCTGGCTCCTGCCTTCAGATCAGCGCGGTGCGCCGGCTGCAGCATGCCAGCCGTGGTGGCCATTGGAGGGTGAACCAACGGCAAAGGAAGACCTTTCTCTCTGTCTCTCTCTCACTGTCCACTCTGCCTGTCAAAAAAAAAAAGGTAAAAAAAAAAAAAAACCCACAGGTGATTCTGGAAGAAGTCAAAATGATGATGACCAGAGGCTGGGGAAAAGCTGATCCACAAGTACCAAATTCAAGATGGGCTCTATTGCACAATGGGTGACTACAGATAAGGCTCAGGTGCTGTATTTAAGGCTCTGTTAAAAAAAAAAAAAAAAAGCTAGAGAGGCAGGTGTTGTGCTGCAGTGGGTTAAGCTGCTGCCTGGGACGCCTGCTTCCCATATCAGAATGCCAATTCGAGTCCCTACTTTGGATCTAGCTTCCTGCTAATGGGCCTGGGAGGCAGTGGAAGATAGAGCAAGTATTTGGGTCTCTGCACCCACGTGGGAGACCAGGATAGAGGTCCTGGCTCCTGGCTTCAGCCTGGCCCAACCTTGGGCTGCTACAATCATGTGGGGAGTGAACCAGCAGATTGAAGCTCGCTCACTCGCTCTCTCAAATAAATACATCTTTAAAACAAACAAAAATCCTGGAAAGTGGGATTTGGGATTTTCAGACCACAAAGAAATGCTAAATGTGTGAGGAGACAGATTTTCTTTTAAGATTTATTTATTTACTTGAAAGCCAAAGTTACACAGAAAGAGAAGAAGAGGCAGAGAGAGAGAGACAAACAGAAAGAGAAAGACAGAGAGAGTCTTCCATCTGCTAGTTTACTCCCCAATTGGCTGCAATGGCCGGAGCTGCACCAGTCTGAAGCCAGGAGCCAGGAGCCTCCTCCTGGTCTCCCACGCCGGTTCAGGGGCCCAAGGGCTTGGGCCATCTTCCACTGCTTTCCCAGGCCACAGCAGAGAACTGGATCAGAAGTGGAGCAGCCAGGACTCAAACTGGTGCCCATATGGGATGCCAGCACTGCAGACTGCAGCTTTACCCTCTATGCCCCAGCGCCGGCCCCATGGAGACAGATTTTATTACATGTAGAAAAACATCACGAGCAATATTTGTTACATTTTTATAAAAATTATAAATTTTTAAATATGTAATTTAAAAAAATTTTAATAAACAGATGGGGGCGGTGGGCATTTCCCTTGGGACACCTGCATCCCACACCATCGCACCTGGATTCCAGTCCTGGCTCTGTTCCCAATTCTGGCTCTCTGGGAGGGGATGGCTCAAAAGTTTGGGTCCCTGCCACCCACTTGGGAGACTTGAATTAAGTTATGGGCTCCTGGAAGCCGCCTGACCCAGCTCCGGTTTGAAGCGGGAAGAGTTTAGGGTGCCCTATAAAAAGTGGCAGAGAGAGATCAGCTCTACCAAAACCCCACCCCCGCACAAGTCGCAGACACCTGCTGGAGGCTGCGTCCGGCCCCTCCCCCACCTCTGGAGCGTTCCGAGTTGTTGCTCCGTCGCCATGGCGACAGACGCTCTCAATTCACTCCACCAGCCGGGAAAGCCCAGTGGTGTTGCTATCAGGGCCCCCTACTCCTGTGCGTGGAGATCCCCGGGCCAGACCCCAGGGCACCTAGCAGGGACCATGCCCGTGTTGGCGCCCCCGGCTGAGCTCAGCCAAGACAGTCGCGTGGGGGCCCCGGCATGGCGCGAGGCGGCACAGGCCACGACTCGCCGAGCGCACCACGTGACGGATCGCTGCGGGCAGGAGGTGGTGACCATGTGGCAGCCCAAGGCCAGCGTGCGGGACCCGCACGTGGCGCGCCACCTGTGCCGCGCCGCCTACATCCTTCCCTGGCGCTTCCGCGTGGAGATGCTGAAAGGTGGCAGCACCGTGGAGAAGCCGCCCCCTGGCGACGGCGTCACGCTGTGGAAGGGCAAGATGAAGCCGCCCGCCTGGCACGCGCGCCTGCCGCTGCCCCTGCACCGCGACGCGCGCGCCCTGCAGACTGCCGAGGTGGTGCACGCGCACGCGCGCGGGGCGCGCCTCACTGCCGCCCGCCTGGGCCGCGCGCAGCACCAAGTGAACGCACGGCTGCGCCAGCTGCAGCGCCAACGCGAGGCCACCGACCGCAGGCTCAGCCAGGTGCGCAAGGGCCTGCTGGTCAACCAGCAGAGCGTCAAGCTGCGAGGCTACCGGCCCAAGTCAGAGAAGGTAGGAATCTCACCTCCCCCTACACACACACACACCTGGTTGCAAAAGTTGAGGCTTCCGTTCCCAAAGATGAGACCATCCCAGGATGAGCCTCCCACTCCCACCCAGGGCCTAGAGAGTGAGACCCTCTATGTCCCAGGCACACCAGATACCCCCCTATGGAGTTTGAGTCCTGCCCCAGCTGCCTACTAATGCAACCCTGGGAGGCAGCAGGTGATGGCTCAAGTCCTTGGGTCCCAGCCACCAACATTGTCATGCGAGACCCGGATTGAGTTCTTGGCTCCTGACTTATGCCTGGCCCAGCTACCAGCTGTTGCAGGCATTCAGCAGGGAGTGAACCAGTGGCAGGCAGCACTCTCTAGGTAACCCCAGAGCTCCACCTTGGGGAGAGAGACAAGATCTCATCTGCCCTGTGAGGTACCTACTTCTAGTTCCCAGAACCAGTAGCACAAACCTGCACATGCCTGTGGAATGAGATTCCTCCACCTGTAGCCCCTGGGAGAGGGGGTGAGGGGTCCCTAGCTCCATTCCACCTGCGAAGTGAGGCACCTCCATCCCAGCCCTCTGTAAAAGAGAAGCCCCCAGACCCAATCTCCAGAGGGTGAGACCCCACCACCACTATCACCACCAAGTGAGAGAGGCCCTAGAGAGAATCAAGTCTTCTCAGAGTGTGCAACCCATCTCCAAAGGGTGCAACTGCCAATGTGGTGGAATGAGAAGGCCATGCCAAGATGGCCGCTGGCAAGCGAGCATCAGTTACTCAGGAATGGCTTTGAAACCCACCTGGCAACGGAGCCTGCCTGGCAACAGGCTGTGATTGGTTAGGGCATAGACCACCCCTTGACCGGATTGGCTGCCTTGGCTATATAAGCTGCTGTACCAACTGAAATAAACGAGTCTGTGGGCTGCTCGCCTCTGGCCCGCTTGCACCCGACTCCGGGGTCTGTGTGGTGACTCCACGCCTCTTGCCCCCACCACGCTCCTCCTCTCAGGAATGAATCCACCACAACATGCCTCCAACTTTATCACCTAATGGCAAGCCCTCTGCAGCCCTGCAGGAAGCAATCTGCTTTCCAGCCAGCTCCCGAGGGTGTGAAAGAGTCTGTCCTTGCCTCGCAGGTCCCCGACAAAGCTGACAGTGTGCTCACCTGGGAGAAAGAGGAGCTAAAGAGTATGAAGCGGAAGCTGGAGAAAGACATGGAGCAGTCAGAGACCCTGCTCAAGGTGAAAGAGACCTAGGGCTGGGCAAGTGGCTGTGACCTTGGGGACTGTGACAGCGGCAAATCCCTCAGCCCATGCTCACGGTGGGGGGGGGGGGTGCTCAGTGCATTTTCACTTTTGCAAAGCAGCAGAACAGAGGTAGGGAGAGGCTGGCCCAGGAGCTGATCGGGAGCTGGGCTTGAGAATGACGGTGACTGCCCACTGTGGGACAAACTCAGCAGTCGTTAAATCAAGTCCTTAAACTCCCCCTGGGAGATAGAAACTGTGACCTCCTCACCCCCTACCCCAATGAGAGACCGAGAAATTGGGGCTCTTGGAGAAATGAACTCACTCAACGCACAGAGCCTACCAGTGCTAGGGCCATGACCTCAGCTCCTGTGTCTTGCTTCTTTTTTATTTGAAAGGCAAACAGAGGACAACACTGGGGCATAGTAGGTTAAGCCTCTGCCTGCAGCACTGGCATCCCATGTGGGTGCCGGTTCAAGTCCCGGCTGCTCCACTTCTGATCCAACTCCCTGCTAATGTACCTGGGAAAGCAGCAGAAGATGGCTCCAAGTCGTTGGGCCCCTGTACCCACATGGGAGACCCAGATGAAGCTCCTGGCTCCTGGCTTAAGCCTGACCCAGCCCTGGCCATTGAAGCCTTTTGGGGGAATGAACCAGCAGATGGAAGATCTCTCTCTCTCTCTCTCTCTCTCTCTCTCTCTCTTACTCTGCCTTTCAAATAAATCTTTTTTAAAAAATGGAGCCAGGACTCAAAACACAGGCACTCAATGCTACACAGAACACCTGCTCCAGCTGCTGCTCCAGCTCAGGTATCTGGATGGAGTTTTTACATGCTGATGTGTGTTCCATCTCTACAGCTCCAGCCAAACAGAGTCTCTCACTGCTTCCCTCCATCTCGGAACAAGGATTTCTATATAAACAGCTGAGTGGAAGTGGGAGGAGAGCCCCATTCCAGGGAGTCTTTGGGATGCAATGGGATTAGCTGGTACCCTGTGTGTGCCCTTGACTTATTCACTGGGCAAGGAGTCCCCAGTGTCTGGTCCGCTTTTTGTTACTATAACAAAATGCAAGAGGCAGCCTGACGTTTCCTTTGGCTCACAATTTGGGAGGTTCACAGTCTGAGATCGAACGGCCCCATTGGCTGAAGCCTCTGTTGATGGCAGAGTAACCCAGGGCAAGAGAGACAGGGCACACACACCTGTCTGCCCATTTCTCTCTTCAGTCGCCACCGAGGGCCAGCATGGTGGCACAGTGGGTTAAGTCGCCACTTGCGACACCAGCACCAGCAGATCCGAGTGCTGCTTTGAGTCCCAAACAACTGACACCAGGACACAGAAGCTCCTGCCAGCCCCTTCTGTCCCTTGTACCCCCAATGAAGGGGCTCATTAAACCCTCAGAACAGAGGGCAAGGGATTGGAAGCTGTGGGAGCTTCTACTTAGAAATCCCTTCCTTCCAAGAACTGGCAAAGCAGAGCAAGTGTTTGGTGCAGTGCTTCAAGACGCTGCTTGGGATGCCCACTCCGGAGGGCTTGGGTTCAAGTCCCAGCTCCACTCCCAATTCCAGCTCCCTGCTAATGCGCACCCTGGAAGCCCGCCTCTAGTGCTTGGGCCCCTACCACCCATGTGGGAGACCCAGATAAGAGCTCTAGGCTCCTGGTTTCAGCCTGGCCCAGCCCCAACTATTGCAGGCATTAGAGGGGGGAATGAACCAGCAGATGCAAGGTCCCTATCCATCTCCCTTTCTCACTCTGACTTCTATACAAATCAACCAGCATGGGGGGGGGGCAGGAGGAGAGGTTCTGTTTACAGTGAGAAACCTTTGTCCCTGGCTGGTTGCAGACAAATCACCACCTGGCTCAGTCACTCGATGGCTCAGTCAATGGCCCGACTGCTGGATCATTCGATTGCTCGATCATCCTCCCTGCTCACGCTTCGTCACCCCTCGCGTCTAGGCTCTGGCCTCCTGCCGTGACAACCTGGGCTTCTGCTGTAAGGAGAGGCTGCAAGCCGTGGACCTCATGAACCAGCCGCTGGACAAGGTTCTGGAGCAAGCAGGCCGCCACTCCTGGGTGAACCTCTCCAGGCCCCCAACCCCCCGCCCTCAAGGCCAGAAAACACCACCTCCGGACCCTGTGGGCACCTACACCCCAGGTAGATCTCCCAGGAAGGAAGGGTACCTTGGAGTCTACCCTGGCCCCTCCTTGGCTGCTTAGCTGCTCCCTGTCTTGGGGAAGGGCCCTGGCACAAGTTCTGAGTGTAAGGAAACCAACCCAAGAGGCTACCTACATCATCCCTGCTAGGAGCTCCCAGCCACGCCCACCCCCCAAGTCACGCCCTCTCCCCCCACCTCCGGAGCCCACTCACTCACTAACTCATCACCTGCTGAGAGCAGAGAACGGGGCTGCAAAAAAGAAAGAAAGAAAGAAAGAAAGAAAGGAAGGAAGGAAGGAAGGAAGGAAGGAAGGAAGGAAGGAAGGAAGGAAGGAAGGAAGGAAGGAAGGAAGGAAGGAAGGAAGGAAGGAAGGAAAAGAAAGAAAGAAAAGAAAGAAAAGAAAAAAAGTAAAAAAAAAAAAAGGCAGGGTCTGGGAAAGTGGGGCTCGGGTCCCCCAACCCCACGCGCGCACCCGGTGCCATTCGCAGAGTGCGCCCTGGCGCTGTATGAAGCCAAGCAGCTGCTGATGGAGTCCAAGGACGCCCTGGTGGAAATGGCCAAGAATGAGGCGGACATCGGCGAGCGCCAGCACCAGATGAGCGACCGCGTGTGCGCCTCGCTGGCGCAGAAGATGCGCGAGACTTTGGAGCTGAAGGTGAAAGGGGCCTCCCTTACCACCGCCCACCACGCCCCCGGAGGCGGGGGTGGGGCTTGGAAGCTGCGGGAGAGGCTGGTGGCGGGACCAGGGCGATGGGGGAGACACCGGGCGTGCACGACCTCCCCCATCCACTCTTCTCCATCCCCCACCTCCCTGCCCTCTCTCTCTCCCCGACCCTCTCTCCCCCACACTGCCTCCCTGCGCTCTCTTCCCCTGGGCCCCCTTCCCCCAACCCTACCCCTTCCCCGGCCTCCCTGCTCTCTCTCTCTCTCTCTCTCTTTCTCTCTCCCGGACCCCCCTCCCCAACCCAGGAAAGGATGAACATGACCTTAGGGCTGATGAGGGGGACGATCCACCGGTGCACAAAATTCAGCGAAGAGATGCACATTACCCGTGGACTCATCAAGGTACCGGCTGGGGTAGGGGAAACGGGCAAGGGTGCCCAGGGTGGGGGGCGGGCGGAAGAGGTGTTGCGCGGAGGCCACTCCCTCATTGCCTGCCCGCCTCACCCCGCCAGGGTCCGCTGTCGGAAACCCACCTGGAGACTCGGGAGAAGCTGGACCGACCCCTGGTCCGCGTGTACCAGAGACACGTGGGCACCCAGCTGCCTGAGGCCACGCGCCTTGCCCAGGTACGCGCCCCCTCACATACACACATACACACATACACACACACAGTCCCTTCCGTGTCTCTTCCTCCCGGCCTGGAAAGGCTCCTTCTTTCAAGCACACCTGGACCAGGTAAGGCACACCCCCACCCCAGCCCCCTTCGCAGGATCTGCCTGGCCTTCAACCCCTGCCCACGCGATGAGGCCCCTGCAACTCCTACGCTTGGGTCTGGCTTCGATGATACGTCTGGAGGCCATTTCTGACAGTGTACACCTGTCCTGGAGGAGACTACATGTCCAACGTCTAGCTGCGAACTAAACTGAGATAGGATACCTGCTTACGGCATGCGATTTCAAGCCAGACTGGCAAGGGTCACCCTTGCACTATGTGAGCTGGTAATGTGTGTATAGTGATGACAAGTTTCTGCTACTCCACACATGACAGTGAATGTCTATGAATGGCACCCTGAATATTAATCTTGGATTTTAGCAACTCAACCATTTTGAAAATAAGAAATTCACTCCAAATGACTGTGGGCTATGTTATTCTTGCAATTTTTAGAAAACTCTTCAAATGTGAGATTTTCTGAACTTTTATGAGACTGTG